TTTTGTTTTGTTTTGTCAGAGATGGGTGTTCCATTGCTGTTAGAAAAGCTGTATATGGTGAAGTATTTAAAGGACCTTTGCATACATGATGCCAGTTTAAATATTGTAGGCATTTGAATTCAGCAAAATAACCCAATATAGTCCAATAGTCCATAGTTGTGTGGGTTATAAGCAGAACTGGCAATTGTCAGAAGTTGTTGACTTGAGCTTTTTACAGCTCAGCATATTGATATAGCTTCACCTTTTTGTACCTCGTGGTTACACTTTTCTGCTGGGTGGTTAAGACTAAGTTAGATCAAGACCTATATATAACTAAAAATGTAACTTTTGCTATCTGATAATGTCAGTCAAATCCACTCAGGATATACCCTGGAACCATGTACAGCACCTTGTGGATCTTTTCTCAGTGTCAGCCATCTGGAAGAGTCATGCCCATTGCTTGATCAATTTGTTGTCTGTGAAAGCCTGAGAGAATTTTTTTCTCTAGGTGACTCTCCTTAGGTGCACTATGCATCATCGACCTCTTTCCTCTGTGGCCCCATCATCTCTTTGATCAGAAAATTTGGGACACCACTTTAGTTTAATTTAATTCTGAACATTAAAATCAAAAGCAAGAACAAAAATCAGAAACAAAGAGAAACAGGGTAACATGTGATACATATGTTAAAGATTTTCAGAACAAGAGTAGCTGATATATTATCTATCATTAAATCTGTTGTTTAGATTAACTAATATAGTTATGTAAAATTTGACGAATGGTTGACTATTACTGCTTGCTTTCAACAAATCTTAAATTTTTGTTATTGTCTACCTTTTCTTTCTTTGATCTTTAAAAAATTTATATTAAAGAGAGTATATTAGTAATTGATATACCATTAGAAATAGTACAAAATTAGAAGACCAAGATGACAGGCATTCAAGCATGGCTTTTGTATTACACATTGCTGTCCTCAATGTAGTTGCTTAGATGCAGATATTAGCATATGGAGTTAGTCAAGGTGAAAATTCTACACATTAATTGTTATTTTCAAAAAACTGATGGTAATTCTGAGTACACCTCAGCTATTCTGTATATATACTCACATGCCTTTACTCCTACCTTTTTCTCTATATTTTCTCCTTTCTTTCCACTTTGTTGTTTAATCCTTAAGTTCCATTTCTTTTCATTTTAGTATATCTGTTATACCTTTCACATTTTATTTCTTCTTTTGAGTTCTTACACTAGGGAGACAATATGAAATTTACACACGTGTGTTTGGTTTATTTCACTTACGAATATTTAGCAAGACTAAAAAACAGGGATCTCCTGTAATTTAAATGCACTAATCTTCAGGTGAAAGGCTTCAGGTCATTTTCACATTGTTCTGTTCTTAACAACAATATTCTCTATTTCATTCGTGCATTTCACAGTCACCCTAGAGTCACCCACTGGACAAATATTTCATATTCTACTTGCTCTTTGCTCTTATTTTCAAACATAGCTCCATCCAAAGCTTTTAGTAGCAGCCATGCTACTGAAAATAGTAGACTGCATTGAAAATTTTCCTAATCTACCCAGGCAATATCTTTAAACACAAGAAAAGTGCAGATCAAATTTCTCCCAAAGCACAATATACTACCTGAGTCATCAGCTAAGGAAATTCTTCTTAATATAAATCTCCTGAGCTTCACCTTAACTGGCAGCATTTCCATCAGTACTCTGACTTCCCAGGCTCCAACTAGAGCCTCCAATGCAGTTTACAGTATACAAGGGCTGGTTCTTTCGCCAGTCTCACAAAATATGACAAATTAATCCCAATGGTTCTTAAATTATATGGACAGGCAACATCACAGTAACTCTTCCCATTCCAATTTTGTCTTGGTTACTTTTATCTTGTTGCTGGGACAAAATACCTGACACTCAAACTTAAGGAAGGAAAGGTTTATTTAGCTCACAGTTGTGGAGAGTTCAGCTCATAATCAACTGGTTCCAAGGCAAAGAGGCACAAGGCAGAGGGCAGCAGTTCATGGTGGCAGAAAAACAGCAGAGTAGCAAGAGGAATAAAAGGGAGGAGCAGCGACAGAGAGCAATGTTCTTTCCCTCCTTTATATTGCATTCCAACTGTCTGCCCCAGGGCGGGTGTAGCACTCACACCCATAATTCCAGCATTAGATCATGAATTAATCACAAAGTGTAGTATAGTACAGTGTGTTAACCAATTGTGCGACTGGAGTTCCTATCACAGACTTAATTTGTATAATAATTTTATTTTATTTCGAAGAGTAAAACAAACGTAAGAACAAAGATCAGAAATAAAGACAGAAACAGGATAACATACAACAATGCATATGTTACAGATTTGCAAAAAAGAATTGCTTATTTGCAATAGTTGATATATTATCTATTTTTATTGTCCAATCTTTAGCTCAGATTAATAGATATAGTTATGAAAGATAGAACATATGATTGAATGTTATCTCTTGCTTTCAAGAAATCTTAAATCTTTGTTCTTGTCCTGTTTGTCTTTTATTATATTTAAAAAAATTTAAAGAGAGTAATTGATATCACAAACTTTAGAAGACTACTCCAATGACTGCATGAGGCTTTGGGAAGTTATCTAGATGCAAACTATAGCAATCTTTTTTGTCCATACAACAATCAATTGGTATTTATCTTTTTCTTTCTGGTTTATTCCCTAGAAAGACAAATACTAATTTGTTTCAACTATGAAATCACAAATATTTGGCCTCAAAAAATTATAGAAATATTTACAGTTGTTAATGGTACAGTTTTCTGGAAAGAACAAGTTTGGGTGATGTAAATCTATGTAAGTTTGACTATCATTAACAGTAATTATAATAAATTGCAAATTAGTTAAAAGAAAGAATGTTGAGGGATATTAGCAAAATGAAAAATATTAGATGTGCTAATCATCCTGATTTTATAATTACTCATTGCATGCAGTTTTTAAGATACTAAGTATTATCCTGTAAATATGTACAATTATTGTATGTGAATAAAAATGCAGGACTCCCAGTTACCCAAACTCATGTTGCATGATGGAAAAATAAATCTCCTACTGTTTTATTGTTATTTTTTGCATAGTTCCTCCTTGAAATTTTTTGTTAATCCTTCTTTAGTGCTTTTTTAGCTTTAAGGAAATAAAACTGTACATAATTTGTTCAAAAAAGACATTATTACAATTTTTATAACCTTATGTTTAGTCTTATTTATAATTCTTGGATATTCTCAGGGGATATAATGAAAGCTGCAACATAATTACAGAACAAGAAGCTCATATTTTTCTACAGTGTTTTCCCTTTCGACTTATTCAGTGTTTTCTCTTCATGTTTACTGAACAAATTGTTGTATTTTTCTAAACATGGAAGTTGCAGAGATAGCTCAGTGGTATAAGCATCTGCCTGGCAAGTGCAAGGCCCGAGTTCAATTCCCGGGCAACAAAACAAAAATCTTTAAACATGGGGTAGAAATGATAATAATGCAATAGAGGTCTGATATTTGTAGGAAATTTACACACTGGAATTTCTGAATACAATTCCTACATACTTTAAGATAAAATATTTTGATATTGCTACATAGCCTGGTATCCATTTCTTTTTAGTAGTGAGAGTTAAATTGAAAAGAATAGGGTGTTAACATGGCCCCCAGAAGATAGTGAATTAAGAATGTATTAACAATACATTCTTAAGCAGGTTATGCATGTGTATGAATTTCTGTGAGTGTGTGTGTGTGTGTGTGTGTCTGTGTTTGCTTGCACACATAAATTTGTGTTTTGTGTTTATATGTTTGCTTTTACAGGAGAGATTATATAACATAAACTGGCTTCAAAATGTTCTAAAGTGTAATTCATAATACAAAAGCCATATCACAAAGCAAGACATCAATAGATACAAGATTGAATTTCATTCAATCCCCATTGTGTAGTGATGGCGCATCCCCAGGATGTGCTCAGATAGCGATGAAGACTGGGTGTGGTGGCACACACCTGTAATCCCAGCACTTGGGAGGCTGAAAACAAAAGAATCACTATGTGTCTGATCTATGTAGTGAGACCCTGTACACCCTGCAAAACCTGTAGACCCTGTCCTAAATTCATAAAAATAAAAAAATAAACAAAGACTGAATTTCAATTTTCCCAGGTCCTTGGAGTCAAATTAAAGTGGCAAATGCAAAATCAGGGAAAAAGGATTTTGTGTCTTAATTCTCAGCAATGATAAGGCCATTTTTTCTTCTTTATTCAGGTACTAGCCCATGTCACTATCTTTCTTGGTTACACTTCTATCACATTGGTTCATTTTTCACCTTGAGCACCCAAAAACAAGCATTTTCCTCAGGCATTTGCCATTTCCACTGCCTACTACAACTCTCTGGAAATGAATTTGTAGATCCCTCCTTTTTAGGATGATCTCCTGAGGACTTAGTTCAAAATAGGACCCACTACCTACATTTTTAAAACTGCTTTTCTCCTTTCATAGCACTTGTTGCTAACTGACATATATTATTATTACCTTTCTTAATTGTATTTCCTTCAATTTGCTTTTATTACTTCTCTTTCATTTGATTTTAAGGATATTCAGTTTTTCAATACTGATTATTCATGTTTAGACATTGCCCAAATCTTGACCATAGCTAAAGCATACTCCTTACAGGCACAAAGAAACTTAAATTTTTAATATAAAATTTCCTGTGAAAATATGAGAGACAAGAATTGCAAATCAGTCATTTATTTTTCTTTCTTTCTTTCTTTCTTTCTTTCTTTCTTTCTTTCTTTCCTTTTCTTTTTTTTTTTTTTCGGAACTGGGGATTGAAATCAGGCCCTTGCACTTGCCAGGCCAAAACTTATTCTACTGAGCTATCTCCCTGGCCCCTAGTCATGTTTTTGAGAGGAATCAACTTACAAACAAAACGTAGCAGTTAGAATCTTAATGGTAGCTTTTCTTTCAAATTAATATTCCATAAATGTCTCATATTATTTTTCTCTTAGTCACACCAACTATATATGGAACCAGAGAATGAAACGCAAACTTCCAAATTTCTTCTTCTTGGAATTTCAGAGGATCCCAGCTTGCAACCCTTCCTCTTTGGACTATTCCTGTTTATGTATTTGGTCACTCTGATTGGAAACATGCTCATCATCGTGGCCACAATCTCAGACTCCCACTTGCACACACCCATGTACTTCTTCCTCTCTAATCTGTCCTTTGCAGACATCTGTTTCACTTCTACCAGCATTCCAAAGATGCTCGTAAACATTTGGACAAAAAGCAAGGTCATCTCCTATGCAGGCTGCATTACTCAGGTATACTTTTTCATAGTCTTTGGGGTTTTGGACAATTTCCTCTTAGCTGTGATGGCCTATGATCGCTATGTTGCCATCTGTCATCCCCTGCAGTACACGGTCATTATGAACCACAGGCTCTGTGAGTATCTGGTGCTAGGGTCCTGGATCACAACTGCTTTAAATTCGTTGCTACAAACGTTAATGGCATTAAGGCTATCTTTCTGTACAGACTTGGAAATCCCACACTTTGTGTGTGAACTTAATCAGTTGGTCCTTCTTGCCTGTTCTGACACATTTGCTAATGACATGGTGATATATTTTGCAGCTGTGCTGTTGGGTGGTGGTCCACTTTCTGGAATTCTTTACTCTTATGCTAAAATAGTTTCTGCCATACGTGCAATCTCATCAGCTCAGGGGAAGTACAAAGCATTTTCCACCTGTGTATCTCATCTCTCTGTTGTTTCTTTATTTTATTGTACACTTCTTGGTGTTTACCTTAGTTCTTCTGTTACACAAAACTCACACTCAACTTCAAGAGCTTCTGTCATGTACAGCATGGTTACTCCCATGTTGAACCCATTCATATATAGTCTGAGAAATAAAGATATAATGGGAGCTCTGGGAAGATTCTTCAAATTAAAGCCATAAATGAGTCATTTAAAAAGTTATGATCATGGGACTCCAAGCCTCAGATCCAGACATTGCATTTAATCAGACTATGAAGTAGAACTTTTTGTTACCATTTATTTACAGAAGTTCTAATGTTTGTCAATTGCTTTAAGGAATTTAACCATATTAAACTTTCTACATTCCCTGACATCTAATATTTTCCCTACTGACTTTTCCATTTTTCCAGTGTTTTCTTCTAGGACCAGAAGTGATTTGAAGATTGGTATTATTCTTATAGGATGATGCACTTGATACTATTATGGAAAGACAAAACAATTTACAGAAAAAAATTCAGAGATGACAGATTTTAATTTTTCTATCATCATTATATACCGATGGTTAGTGTTTCTCTTCAGAATGTGTCAGTGTATTTATGGTTTCATATTTGATCATACAATTTTATTATTCACTTGAGAACACAATTTTCTTATTTAGCAGTTTTCAAAATGCCTCCAATGTTCCTTGGCACAATGTAACAAGGAAGAGAATAGTTCAGAAAGAAGGAAAAGCAGACTGCAGAAAATGAAAGAAATAAAACGTGAACAACTAACTTGAATACAACATTATGCAATACAACAAATACTGTGAAATGCATCCATCTTGTATATATACATGTATGGTTTTGCTCCGACCTTACTACATAACTTTTCTCCTTGCTCTCTCTCCATTATTTAATCCTTAAGTTTTGAAAGAAAATTTTTTTGGAAGGCAATGAAAGCAAATTAAAAGAAAAATTAAGATTTCTTGAAAGCGTGGTGTAATATTAAATCATATCTCCCATCTTGCATAACTATATCTGTTAATCTGAGTAACAGACTTGATGATAACCATAGATAAGTCAGTCATTATAAATCAGCCATTCTTTTTTTAAAATATGTAATGTGTGTATTGTTATATGCTATCCGGTTTCTGGCTTTGCTTTTCTTTTTCTTGCAATTGTCTTTACTCTTCAAAAGAAAAGAAAATTATTTTAAAAAACTGAAGTTATCAGTGTGCTTTCTTCCCTACTGATAATAGCAAATTTATGAATTTACCCATGATGGCTTTTCTTTTTCTTTTCTTGAGTTAAATAGAATTAATAATGATAGCTTTATTTACATAGTGATTTAAAAAGTAAAAAATATTTCTGATGTACATGGTAATTTCTTTTTTATTTATTTAATTTTGAAGTATAAAAACTAAAGCAAGAACAAAAATCAGACACAAACACAGAAACAGGGTAACATCATCAATTTTTACTATACTCTCTTTAAAATATTTTTTTTCATCATATTCTGTAGGGACTTAAAGTTCAACATATCAATACTTGATGAAAAATACCTGTTCCATGTTATGCCTAAGATTTTTGATATTCAGACAGATAGTGAGGTTAAGCTTAACAGCCTTGGTTGTTTGGTAATAACAGTAAGCTTCTCTTCTGGAGGGTTAACAAACTAAGTTTGCAGACCAAAATTAGAGAAAAAGGAGGGCCACAAGGAAAGCCAACGTTTTGGTCCTAGCCTTCCAAGGTCAATTAAGACTCAGGATATATGAGAACTTGTACTGTAACGTCATGTAACTCAGTAGTGTCCCAAATTTTCTGATCAAGGAGATTATGGGGCCAAAGAGGAAAGTGATCAATGATATAGAGTGTGCCTAAGGAGAGTCACATGGAGAGAAAACATTCTCTCAGGCTTTCACAGAGAGCATATTGGCCAAGCAATGGCCTTGACTCATCCACGTGGCTGACACTGAAAAAGGATCTACCATATGAAGTACAAGGTCTCAGGATGAATCCTGAAGGGATTTGAATGACCTTATCAGATCCAAACGCTAAAACTCCTGTTGCATAGGTCTTATTTTATCTTGGTCTTAACCATCCAGCAGAAAAGTACAAAAACGAAGTATAAGAATTAAAACCATGGTGTTATGTTGAGATGAAGGGGACTCAGGTCAACAATTTCTGACACTGCCAGTCAAGCAGAAGACTCAATACTATTATGGACTACTGGACTCTTTTAGAATATTTTGCTGAGTCGGGGGCCTGCCCATTAGCTCAGTGGTTTAAGTGCCTGCTTAAACAAAGTATTCAGGCTCAGGATGCTGTGGTTCAAACCCAGATACTCCCGTCAAACGAGAAATGACCTAAAGGCATCTTGAAGCGGCCAAAAAATTTTTTTTTCTGCCATAGAATATTTTGCTGAGTTAACACACCTATAATATTCAAATGACAGAACTAAACATAAAAGGGGATACAGATAAATGTCCATTTTGTATCTGTGTATTCAAAATGGTTAGGATAGATATATAGTTACATTCTCTTAATGAATAGAGGGATTTGTTCTAATAGTGTTTATATATAGGATATCATGTCTGCACCTTGTACAGCAAA